GACCCGAATCTACAATGCAAGTATGCAAGGTAGATCCTGGTCCATGGTATAATTTGGCAACAGGAAACAGAGGAAAGATTCAAAATATTAAAAAACGAATGAAAATCAACACATGAAAGAAGACATGAGTTAAAATGTAAACTCAATTCCTGTAATTTGATTGGGTACAGAGTCACAAAAGAACAACTTTGAGAGCGTAAAAAGCCGCTCTTCTTATTAGGAAAGTCAGAGAAGGGAAATGTTAGCTATTTTTAAAATTGAAGTGAAAACTGTATATTAATAAACCAGAGAGCAATGCTATCACTTTACAAACACCATTTTTGCAGAGCCTTGAGTTGGCCCTGTAATTCTTCTTTAATCTCTCCGCTTTTACCACCTAAATCATCACATCATAGATCTGAAGAAAAATATTCTTTCTCGAAAACAAAGGACTTCTATCCACCTTGGCCTTCTTGTTCCTTTAATTTCAGAAAGGACGTGAACCATCGCTTCCATGCAGCATCTTGCTGTTGTTCAACCCATGAAAGAAAGCAGCTATCCAACAAGCAGAAAAAGTTGACATACAACAGTTGATACCTCACTGGAACAAAGCGGAAGTTGGCTACCTGGACAATTGGCCATACTCCTCCCTCCAGGATTAAGGCCGGGATAAAGTCTCTCTTCAAATCTTCCTTGACTTGAGGAGCAGTTTTTCCACTCGCAAACCCGATGTAACTGAAGAACACAAATAAATCCAACGGCCCGAATATTATTCCATCGAGTGCTACTTTTGTGGCAACAAATCGCAACGTTTCTGGTTGTAATTGAAGCCGCAACCTAATATATCGGTCCAACCCTTCATACCTGTTGAGTTGGAAAACAAGAACAATGTTTACATTGCTGGAAGCAATAATAATCTGCATGCTAACCCGTCCTTTTTCTTTCAGTTTGATAGGCCATAACCAAATAAATAATCTTATGCAGTCAACCAATGTTCCATGGAATTCAAACAATTCCATGAAAGATTGATTCAAAGTTTCTATGTTACTGAACAAATCTGAGTCACAGCCACAATAAGACCTATAGATACAAGCAGCCAGACAGGCCTCAGGTCCATGTCAGTCGTCAGACAGTGTACTTAGTAATAATGTACAAATGCAACATTAATGTAGAAATAAATGTAATGCGAGTTCTACTATGCGTACTCCGAAATTCTACTCCCTGATGTGGCAAACAATAATTGGTTATTTCATCATGTGGATCCACAGAAAAGAGTCTACATCAAGAACTTGTGAGGGAGAGTAAAAGTTGGGAGTATAAAATGAGAGTACACCAAGTATTTTCCATGTAATGCTATATTCATGTGAAAAGACATATTGAAATATATATATATATATATATATATATATATATATATATATATATACATACATACATACTATACAAGTCCATATGCAATCAAAGTATCAATGAAATACTATGTAAATACACTATAAAATTTATGGTGGAGAGAATCTATAACATAACTAATCAGATAAAGATTCGTAACTGATGATCATCTGAAATTAACAAATATATTTACTGGATTTAAATAGCAGCTTCTTTAGGCATATAATATTTCTATCATACCATACAAACTCAATAGTTTCCATGACTAATCATGAGTTGGCATTTCATTTGCTGCAAGTATGTCAACTAAAGCAAGAGCAAACGAGAAATACAGTATAGTAATACATCATATATAAAATAATTTTCTTCATTTTCTTCTGAGATTTGAATACTAGATACATGGTGCTGATATACTTGCACGACTTCCATTCATGATAACCCTTAAACTATGAACTCTTTTTTGTTGGGTCCATACAAATCCATGATAAAATATCAAAGCTTTTCTGCTTTGTAAAAGACATTCATATGCTATCTAGTAATTATATCCAAAGTGTGTAAGAGAGACTAATATCATATAAAGCTTATAAACTTTGATCTTCAGAAAGTAAAAGGATATTCAATGATACATGTTTTAACCCTTTTTTCTAGATGGGCAGATGAGTGCACAACGAAAATTGATCAGTTAACTTCAAGATTTAAAAATAATTATTATTAAAAAAAAGGAAATGAAAAACTCATTATCAGTATGCTCTGAAATGTCATGCAAGATTGCAAGTACACATTTTCTGAAGAGTGTATGTCCAAAGTACCAAAGTAAACAAACATTTTCACCTACCAAACAGAGATTGATAATTTTTTATACCAATCCAACATTTTCTGGAAATGAATATTTATTACATCTTGGATCTACAACTAGGAGAGAGATGGAGAGAAAGACTAACCAGTAGTGACCAACTGGTCCAACAAATGCAAGGCCAAACAAGCTTGTGGTAGCAACTCGTCTCCAGTTGATCTTAAATTCTTTTTCTTCATCCTTCAGCATACATAAATTTATTATATGATTACATAAGCAAGGTGATAACACTCACAAATCAGAATGTTGAAAATTTTCTAACAAATTAAGGCACAAATTAAAAACCAAGTTGCAGAATATGAATCTGAGCCACATTCCGCTAATTCACTCAAAAAAGACTCAGTTACAATGTAACATCATCAATGGCATACAATGCATTGTACATCTACAATCAAGAGGCCTGTAGCTCAACTTCTTTTCTTTTTTCAAGCAGACAAAATCATGCCCAGCTAGGGTTCATTCATACTACACCCATGTTTAAAAAGCCAATAAAGTTTTCATTGCATAACCTCTAACCAGAAAGCAGTAAAAGAAAATTAGAAAACAAACAAACCCACAAAATACACAAGAAATCAACACACACCCATAAATACATAATAATGCCCATTTGCCACAACGATAAGAAACATCAAAGTTATCAAGAATAAATAAAAGCGGCCAAATAGCAGATCAATAGGGTTACTTACAGAGGGAAGATTGCGGCGAGTCCTGGCAGTGTAATGAGTGACGGCCTGTGCAGAAACATCGCCCAAACCCCAAATCACGCCGGAGCTGATGACCTGCGTCTTTACCGGATGCACCGCCAAGCAATTCTGGTACCATTTCCACGCTCTCAACAACATGGCATCCAATAATTACTCCCTTCTCAATACTTGTTTTCTCCTTTCCTGGATTTTGAAGATGGTTTTCGCGGTGGACGTTGGACGGTTACAACTTTCACCGTTCGACAAATGGCGGAAGATTCCTCTCAAATCTCTATCCGAGCTCTGAATTTTGGCTTCCGATCAGAATCTCCGTCTCAGTTCTCGTTCCGATTTGGGAACGGAAATTGGGCAAAAACTATGGTGGGTCGCCGCGCTACTTTGTTGTGATGAAACGAAAATGATTTGTGTAATGGACTTTTTTTTTGGAAAGTTCAAAACCTCTCTTTAATCGTGCGTTGTGTGTGAAGTCTGTTTTATTATTTTAAATATAAATTATTTATAGTTTTTTAAAGGAATAAATTATTTATAGTTAATTGGTGTCAATAATTATAAAGTATAACGTGCGTTCTGTGTGAAGTCTGTTTTATTGTTTTAAATATGAATTATTTATAGTTTTTTAAAGGAATAAATTATTTATAGTTGATTGGTGTAAATAAATTATAAAGTAGTAAAGTGTTACTCCCTCTGTCCCATTTTGCATGTCTTACTTTCCTTTTTAGTTTGTCCCAAAATGTTGTCCTCTTTCCAAAATTGAACATCACCATCATTCTACTTTTTCCCAAATTACCCTTATGACTTTTGCTTTTATTCTCAAAAGTGAAAAAGTGAAGGGCATAATGGGAAAATACATAACATTTACTTTAATTCCTTAAAAAGCGTGCAAAAAGCAAATGAGACAACCAATTCGGGACGGAGGGAGTACAATTTTGAAATTCATTAATTAATTACAAAATAAATTTGAGTAAATGTATCATAAATTAATTAGATTAAATTATTGAATATTTTTAATATATTGATACGTATAGTGTTGATTTGTTCATATTATTTTTTATTAATTTGTTTATAGAAGATACTCGACAATTGTCATTGGTGTAACGATGTTAGAAAAATGTTATTGTCATCAATAATCATCATGTGTTCAACATAAAAAGTCTTTATGCTAGCTACTTGAACAAAATAATATGTCACTCAAATAAGTAATAGCATGTTGAATAAGTAACAATTATATATATATATATATATATATATAATCAATTTAAGTCGATTAAAAAATAGTTAGGAATTGCGGCATATTTGACCACCGAAATTGGCATCACTAATAGTTTCATCGCAGAACTTTAGAGTCTTGGGGGGGACTTCTCATTGTCAAAATCCGTGGCCTCGAAAAGATTGTAGTGAAAACTGGCTCGAAAGCTATGATTCAAGTCTTACACAAGGAGATAGCGTCCAGATTAGAAGCCGATACATTGATTACGAACTGCAAGGCTATTGTGGATCAATTCTAAGATTGTGAGATCATCTACGTGCTATGTGAAGGGAATCAATGTGCAAATTACTTGGTAAACATGAGACAAAATAGTCATTGGATAACATCATCAATGTGCAAATTACTTAGTCAACATGAGACAAGATAGTCATTCGAGAACATCGATTCTAATTCATCCCTGGATGGTGTGAGAGATATTCTGAAGCACGATGTCAAGAGTATTACCACAAGATAATCTACTAAGCTTTGGAACCCCTTGGTCCCTCCTTTGCAAAATAAAAAATAAAAAAATTAAATATTTTTTGTGTGTCTAAAAAATATATTATATTTGTTGTTAAACATCTTGCAGTAATTGCGCCACTATTTTTAAAAGAAATGTTCATACCGTTTCTGAATAATGTTCATTCCCTTACAATGGCGGATAACGTAATTATCCAATTTGTCACCCTCATTTTATACTTGGATAACATTTCAAAAGATTCGTCTGGTCTCAACTCTCACCCACCATGCCGTGTGGTCTTCGCTATTTCTACTTCCAACAAATTCCTCTGAAACTCCCCTCTCTGTGAGCCAGCAAAAGAAGGTAGACCGTCTTCCTTCCTCTTTGTATTTCAAGAATCATAAGCACTAACACTTAATAGTTATGGAGTATTGGGTTCTCTTTGTTTTCCCATTTCTGAGAGTTGTCTTTAACTTATGCTGGATTCTTGATGGTTCATTGATTTCAACGAACCACTGAGAAGAAAGGGATTTTGTTCATTTGTTGAATGAATTCTGAATGTGGGTGAGATGGATTTGTCACGGTTTGGACGCTGGAAAGTGGAAAGATTGCTGATTTCTCTGTGAATCAATTGGGTCCTCATTTTCTCTGATGACATGGTGAATGGTGATGCTTGCTGTTGAATATATCAGTTTATAAGATTATGGGTTAGACTAGCTAATTGAGTGGATTCAGTGTGGGTTGGCCATGTGTATTATAATCCAATTGAGTGACCTTGACCGATGGTATTAGAGATTGTTATGTCCACTTTGTGTTCACCGGGTGTTTGCCCGTGGTATTGGTGCCATCCGAAGCTTTAGTTTCAGGGGTAGGGTCCAATTCAATTGCAACTATATTCAAAATAGTCCGATTGTCCCCTTGATGGGGAGTATTAAGCATATGTGTTTGTAAGACATCTGGCCAATTGTGCATTATAACCCATTTGAGTGACGTGGCCCAATCTTACATTGTAACACTTTGAATCTCGGTGCTTGGAATCCCTTTGGAAGTTTGATAGCAACGCCTCAATCATTGGAGCGTAAAGTGTTATTGTTATCACATGTGGGCAGTAGCTTACAAGTTTATCAATGAGTAGATAATTGTTCAGTGGATCTTTTCCTTGCTAACAAAGCTCAGTTCTCATGTTTTTATGTAGTGTGTAAAGCCTAAGTGTGGAGGGGGCTTTGGAGTTTCAAAACCATACTGTTTATTTGGAGAAGTTTGAGATGGGAGATTCTCTAACACAGAAGACTCCTAGAAAAAACCCTAGAGAGACAACACTCATCAAGAAACAACGGGTTCAAGCAATGGTAAATTCGAATTGACATATTATTTGATTTGATTGGTTATAAGATAATCATACTTCAACATTGCTAGATGGTGGTTAAAATTGTTATACTTCCCCTATCTGGGATAATTTAATCCCGGAAATACCCGACAATCTTCGAGAACAGAAATTGCAAAATTTGAACTTTGATTTGCAGTCACTAATTAAAGCATTTGATTACTCGATAAGGCAGGATTTTCTTGCTATGCAATGTAATCATAATAGAGAAATTTTGCCTTTTATTTTGGAAGAATAAATAAAAGTGAATTAGGACTGTTATATTCTTGAGTCTAGTTCCTATTGTTTCTGCCACTAAGCTAATTTATCTTGCTGCCTAAGCTTATATTTGCTTTCCTTTTCGGGATTCTGGGTGAAGAAGGGCTAAAATTAGATTTTCCCATTTGGGCAGTTATCGGTCACTCAATTGGGTTATAATGCACAGTCACACCACACTAAAAGATTGAATCCAATCGATTAACTAGTCGTTCTCATGGCCTTATAAAACCATATGTTCTCCCACTTATATTTTCGATGTGGACTCTTAACAGTAATTATGTAAACAGATCTTGAAAATAAAAGTTGCTATCTGTTAAAGAACCTTAACTTGGAAGAACAATGAAGGTAAACGAATTGTATGCAGGAGCATTGACTATGATGATTGTTCTAAATTTTGAAGTCCTGTTTTGAATATAATATTTAGCAGGAGCATCAAAACCAAGCAAGATTTTAACTCTCTCATTATATTATTTAAATTAACCATTTTGACACTGTTATTATGGTGAAAAGAATTGTAATATTGTATACAGCTAACCAATACTAAAATCTAATAGTTTTGTTAATTGTGCAGGAAAAGTCCGTAGAAGATGACATTCAACTGCAACCAAAGCTGGATTCTTCTCGTTGTACCTTTTGCGCGAGTGGAATTAACTGCAAAGCTGTTCGTCAAAAATCAAAACTGATGAATATTCTTGGAGATAGTCGGAAACCCGAGGAAGCCCTATCAGTTTTCGATAGCTTGATCGAAGGAGGTCATAAACCATCTCTAGTAACATACACCACCCTCTTATCTATTTTAACAGCTCTGAAGCGCTTTAACCACGTACATTCAATTATCTCGCTTGTTAAAGAAAGCGGAAGGAAACCGGATTTACCTTTCTTTAATGCTGTTGTTTATGCATTCTCGGAAGCTGGGAATGTGAAGGAAGCTATGAAAACCGTATCAGAGATGAAGGAGATCGGGATAAAGCCTACTACCACTACTTTAAACTCGTTAATCAGAGGTTATGGGATTGCTGGAAAGCCCGAAGAATCTCTCGAAATAATGGAGCGAATGGTTCGAGAGGACAATGTAAAACCGGATGAAAGGACTTTTGGCATCATCATATGCGGGTACTGTAAAGAAGGAAAAGTAAAGGATGCTTTAAAGTTTGTGTACTGGATGAAGGATTTTGGAGTGCATCCTAATGTTATCATTTTCAATACACTGATCAGATCCCTTGACATATCGGATAGAGATAGTATCGACGAGGTTAGTTTTCATTTATAGCTTTTTTCAATTGTTTCCTAAATTGATGTTTGCCTTCTCTTTTTCACATAGATGTAGAGCAAGTGAACTTAGTGATTGATTGTCTACTGGATGATATATGGAATTGGCAATATTGTTTAATTTCTTTCTTTTAAACTTAGAGCAATACTATATGGACTCCCATTTGGTTCATCTCAAGTAACCACCACACTGCCCGGTGGTTGGCTTTTTGAACAAATTATATTAATGGGAGCATGACACTTTTTCTCCCTAAATTATATGCTTATAGCGCTTTTTCCTCATAAATTATTCATGCATCCATATTAGCCCCTTAATTATTTTAAAAGTGACGATTTCCCCCCAAGTATTTCAGTTATTTTTCATCTCCAACAAATTATTGCTTATATACGGGAATCAGAATAAATACGAAAGGGAACAGACACCATTTGTAAATTATAATTATAATATGGGAAAATTGTAATTTATGCATTTTCATAATATGCCAATTATCAATGTCACTCATGAATTATTAGTGGTGTAAATGTTGCCCCCAATTTTCAAAACAGAACATATATTGCCCCTCCCCGTACCGTACGGGAAGAAAATTGAGGGGCAACATTTACACTACGGGAAGGGCAATATATGTACAGTTTTGAAAATTGAGGAGCAACATTTACACCACTAATCATTCAGGAGTGACATTGATAATTGGCATATTATGAAGTGACATAAATTACAATTTTCCCTTATAATATTTACAAATGGTGTTTGCTCTCATTTATTTTGATTCTTACACATAAGCAATAATTTGTTTGAGGAGAAAAATAAATGAAATACTTATTTTTAAGGGTAAAAATGTCCATTTAACAGAAAAGGGGGAAAATTCATCTTTTAAAATAATTGAGGAGGCTAGGATACATAAATAATTCTTGGGGAAAAAGTGCCATTTTCCCTATACTAATTTTTGGTTATCAATAGGACTGTTAATCTGGTATTGAATTTTGGTATAGAAGAGATAAAAACACCAAACTTTTTTCAGGTTCTGACATTGATGGAAGATTTCGGTGTCAGCCCTGATGTAACTACATTTAGCACGATAATGAATGCCTGGTTTAGTGCTGGATATATGGACAAATGCAAGGAAGTGTTTGATGACATGGTGAAATACGGAATCAAGCCCGGTGCCTTTGCATACAACATTCTGGTGAAGGTATATTTGCATTCCTCGGAGCCAGAAAAGGCAGAGGGTGTCCTGGCTGACATGGTTAAATCCGGGATTCAACCGAACGTTATAAACTTCACGACTGTCATTAGCGGTTGGTGCAGAGCTGGTAATATGGACAATGCAAGGAAGGTTTTCGAGCAGATGTGTGAAAGCGGGATATCGCCTACTTTGAAGACGTTTGAAACCCTAATCTTGGGCTATGCCAGAGCAAAGATGCCTTGGAAGGCGCGGGAAATGATTGAAATCATGAAACGGTTTGATGTTCAGCCGGAGAGAAGCACACTTGTTCACGTCGAAAACGCTTGGCTTGCCAGAGGAGGAAGCAACGGGGCGAATCAAATGGCAAGCACGATAGACAAAGACCGTATGAATGTGGAGGCCCCGGATAAAGTCTATAAGAAGAAAGGTGCCCACCATCCGGGCTCCAAACTCTTACAAATACCTAATGTGGTTACGAATGGTAAAAAGAGAGATGTTTCGGCATCAAAGAGCCCTCCTCACGTTGCCACTACGTCTATACATCTCGGTTCTGGATTCAGAAAGCGCGCTCCTTTTGTTTGCCAGAGGCAGTTCCAAGGGCAACATTTCATGTATTGTCAAGTTGGACACTCCTGCACAGTTTTCTTCAACTGAAGAGGGATGGTTATTGAATTTATTCTGTTGTGAATAAAGTTGTAGGTAATGTTCAATCTTTGTTAAGTTTTGTTGGTCATTTGACTATTGTTACTCTGCACTTACCCTTTTGTCCATTTGTATTTGGCTGCTGTGCATCTACACAAAATCATGTCATTAATTTGTTGGAGTTAATATTCAATTTAGTTATGTATTATAGTGGTTTTTCTAGATTTAGTTTTAAGAGCATCTATATTAGTGGTTTTTGCTTAGTTTTTGAGGAGATCTTGGCAGCAGTGGAAGAGAGAGAATGATTGAAATCTCCATTCATGATTGTGTGGACCATATTTTGTAAAGTGTAAAATGATGTACATTCAGTGCAAAAATAATGTACTTTTAGTATATTAAAAATGTACATTGTATTCAGGAGATGTACATTATTTGTATACTGAGTGTACATTAAATTGTATAATGTACATTCAGTACACAAATAATATACATTTATTATATTAAAAATGTACTTTTTGTTATGATCCACACAATAATTTGCCAAAAATCTTCCTTGCAAGAATTGGTTCTTAGTTTCTGAAGTGGGCCCCACCAAATATGAAAATTGGTTGCTTGAGACGCAACAACACCTAGTCACACTTGCAAAAAAAACCCTTTAAAAACTATACGTATTGAGAATGCTCTAAACGTTTTTTTTTTTTTTTTTTTGGGTGCATAATCGGGTCTTAAGTGACTTCACCTAATTTAAAAAATTTAAGGAAAAGGGTCAAATAGGCCCTCAAACTTTTGCTCAAAAGTCAATTAGCCCCTCCAACTTTTTAGAGAAGCAATTACACCCATGCACAATGCATTTTGATGCAATGAAACTCAAATACAGGCCTGCTATCATAGGTCATTGCAGATCTGACCACCTTTCAACATATTTTCAGGCAAAAAAGTGACCGCCGACCGGCGTCACTTTTTTGCCTAAAAATATGTTGGAAAGTGGCCGAATCTGCAATGACCTATGATAGCAGGTCATTTACCTGTATTTGAGCTTCATTGCATCAAAATACATTGTTCATAGATGTAATTACTTCTTTAAAAAGTTGAAAGACCTAATTAACTTTTGAGTAATAATTTGAAGGTGTATTTGATCATTTTCCTAAAAATCTAATGTCACAAAACTATATTAGCTTGCAATGATTATTAATTGATGAATTTGAAGCACTCAATTCTTTACCATGTGATCACAAACAGTAATATAAAATTATAGTTACAAAATTTAGTATGAAAATTTTCAAGTGATTGCAGATTGCTACGAAGATCTTCAGATGTATCACGTGCTGCACGTGAAGGAGGAGGTCTACAGTATAGCTATTGGCCTGGGATGATGGCAGTTTTTGTTCTTCTGCAGTAAATAACTAAATACTACGGAGTAAATAGTATGGTAATCAACATATTTGGTTAGAATACAAGGGGTGTATTCAATCATGACTTTCATAGAGTTTTAAAGACTTTTATGAACTTTAGAAGTTTGGAGGTATTCAATTCAAACTTTTAGAGAGTCTTTAAAAGTCAGGCGGTATTCAATCAAGATTTTTAAAGAATCTTTAAAAATCATGTGGTATTCAATTAAGACTTTTAAAGAGTCTTTAAAAGTCATGTGGTATTTAAAAAGTGATGAACTTTTGTAGAGTTTTTAATTTTAAGACTTTTGTAGACTTTTCATTCTCAAATATGAATAGTTGAAATCCAACCAGCAACCCCAAGATTTCAAATTTTCTTTCTAACAACTTTGAATGTTTTCTCTCTCTATTTAAACTTTTTTTTTCTCTCTATTTAAACTCTATAAACCTATCTAAATTCAATAAAATTGTTTTTTTCTTCATTATTCTATATTTTCCTCGTACATAAACTCTACCAATTTTCTCTCTCTTCTAAACTTTAGAACCTTCATCTAAAAATTTGAAATAATATTATTTTTACTTCATTATTGCTTGTTTATATTGATTTTTTATTTTTTTCTATGAATTTTTTATCCCTAACTTTCTCTAATTCTCCCTAAATACATGAACAAAGCAAATTTTTCATCGTCAAATTTTAGTATATGTTTCATAATATTCATATGAATACTTATATATTTTAATTTTTATTATTTTTATGTTTATATTCGTAATATATATTTTTCATTTTTTTAACAAGTTACTACGAATAGCGAATTATTGTTCGCAACAACAATTTGGGGTTGCAAACAGTGGCACCTTGTTATTGTTTGCAGTCTCAAATTGCTATTACAAATAATAATTTTTTACGTGATGCCTAGCAATATATCAAATATAATTTTATATATATTATTAATATTAGATTTTTATTTTTCTATTTTATGCAACCTATAATTATATTTTTAAATATTTTATTTGATCAAGTCTTTTATTATAAATTTTATTCTTCAATATTGTTATGAATTTATAATGAATTTTTTTTTTTTTTTTGTTGATGTTTGTTAATAATATATATATATATATAAATAATTAGCATACTAGGGATAAAAATAATAATGTTGAGAATATAATGTTGATGCGGGTGAAGAACTATATAATAAGAAGAATTTTATGATATATTATAAATGTTTTGTAAGAAAATTGTAAATGATAAGAATCAAAATAATTGAAAGTTTGTAAGGATGTATTCAATTTAGAATTTCAATGACTTTTGTAGGCTTTTTAAAATAAAAAGTTGATAAAAGTCTGTAGATGTTTTTTATATAGACTTTTATAGAGTCTTATAAAGTTTTAAAAAGTTTTGAACGACTCTATGAAAGTCAATCAAAGTTTATTAAAATCTATTATTTTAAAAGTCTTTAAAACTCTACAAAAGTCATGATTGAATACACCCCTCTAAATTTGGGTGAGGGGTTTTAAAAAAAAAATAAATTTGGGTGAGTTAAAATGAAAACTAAGGTTGTTTTTGGTTCGAATATGGGAATTGACATCAGAATAAAATCAAATACTTGATAATTGGAATGAGTTTTGGTGAAAGTATTTTGCCTGTTTGTTAGTACGGTGAAATTGAAATGATTATCAATATTGATGTTTAGTTATATACAACCCTATAATTGAAATAAAAATTTTAAAAATATAAAAAAAAAAACAAAACAAAAAAAACAAAACAAAAAAATCGAGGAAATTGATCTTAAGAGTAATGATGAAATATGTGTAATGCAGTGAGGAAGCCGATAAAGTGAGGAGAGATGAGTGAGGATGCAACGAAATGAGGAAGGATAAGGTTGAATTAATGGCATGACATAGACCTGGCAATTATGGACACGACCCGTTAACACGACACGAAATCGGACACGAAAATAACGGGTTAGTGTTTAGCCTTAACATGTCCCGGGTCGTTAACGGGTTGACCTGTTAAGGACCCGTTATGTTTCATGTCTTAACGGGTCGACCTGTTAAACCTATTAAGAACCCAGTTAACCCGTTAATATTATCGTGTTGACCCGTTTACAAGAACCCGTTTATACAAACCTGTTTAGAACCCGCTAAGAACCATTTCATGAATGAGATTACAAAAGATATCGTAAACATGAGTACATGACTAAGGATGAATTTACTACATTAGGCTAAAATCCTACACCAATTATTGATGTTCAACAATATGAAGTTTGAATTTTTATTGTGTTCAATTTTATTCTAAAACTAGCATGGACTTCTTTAATTATGATTTTTGGATGTTATTTTATCATTTTATGAATGTTATAAATTGAATATTTTTTTAGTTTGTTTGATGGATTGAATGGTAGGTTTTATTTCTTTTATATATAACTTAACTTAATTTTTTTTAATATATTAATAGATTTAGTGGGTTTAAACGTGTTTCGTGTCATATCGTGTCGACACGACCCAAAATCTATTGACAAAATGTATATATCGTGTCAACCCGTTTAACCCGTTAACAAATCGTGTTCGTGTACGTGTTACAAATTTGAACTCGTTAATTTTATCGTGTCGTGTTCATGTTTAGCCTTATCGTGTTCGCATCATTATCGTGTCGACCCGTTAACGAACCCGTATACACGAATTGCCAGGTCTAGCATGATACAACCCAATAGGTAGCTAAAGTGACAAATGAGCTCTCTTTGTGGGGGAAAATTTTAGGATAACCCGGGTTTGATTCCCACAAGTGTTTGGTGTCAATTCCAAATTTAGTCCCAGACTATCGTTTTTGCCATTTAACATCCCAGACTATTATTTTTGGACATTTTTCGTCCTTTTCTTGACTTTCTCTATTTTTAGTAAGGGTATTTTTCACCGTACTAACAACACGAGAGTACACAACACACAAAGATAAGCACGTTTTCTTCTCAAAACTCTGCTCCTACTTCTTTCTTGCTACTGTGTTTTGCCCGTGCTCTAGTTCGCCGGGTTCGTTCGTTTGGGTGCTCAAACGTCGAACCGTTGTACGTTTTATCCTGGGAAACCTAGGCCACAACACTCCTAGCATTTTTGGGAGGTGGCAAATAAGGTTTTAAGAAAGACAGGCACTTTGCCTAACTCGTACTATTCTTTCTTCTTCTCCTTCTTTCTTGTTTTGGATTATGCTCTAAGCAAAATCTGTTCTCCATATTTGTTTTGCCGTTGGATTGGACTCATAATCTGAGGATTATTTGTTCCAATTTTTGGTTGATATATATTGGTATATCTTTTTCGTATATATATATATATATATATATATATATATATATATATATATAACCGTTGGATCCGTTTTATATATATTTGTGTGTATATATATATATTTCGGATAATTATCAAATAATAGTTTATATACTTGTGTGTGTATATATAAATATTATTTTACGATATTAAATCGATTTTGGTTCATTATCACCAACAATCTTAAAACCTTATCTTTTTTGATAATGAACAAATCGGTGGATTCCAAGAGTATTGGATCCCTGAATGTTGCTCGTGGTGCACATTCAAATGGTCGGAACGACAGCGAAGTTGCACATTCCGTGATGCCGGTTGACGGCAGCAACGTTGGAAATAATATTTCCATGGGAGTTGCAAGAACACACGATGGTGCTCCAGAGAACGTTGGTTCACGAACCGGTAGACCCGTGGCTAATGACACACAATTGGTACCTATTGTGTTGTCTAGTGGATTGGCTAAAAGCCATGAAGGATCCTATGATGGTGTAATCACTACTTGGTCTGAGGACTATTGTAGTGTAACCAAT